AAGACAGTTCTTCATGACTTCCACGTTGCTAATGGGGGGAAGATGGTGCCATTTGCTGGATGGAGCATGCCCATTCAGTACAAGGACTCAATCATGGACTCAACCTTGAACTGTAGGGAGAATGGTAGCCTATTTGATGTCTCCCACATGTGTGGGCTAAGTCTTAAAGGAAAGGACTCTGTTTCTTTCCTTGAAAAGCTTGTAATTGCTGATGTTGCTGGGCTTGCCCCTGGAACTGGAACATTGACTGTCTTTACAAATGAAAAGGGTGGGGCTATTGACGATTCAGTGATTACCAAGGTGACAGATGATCACATATACTTGGTTGTGAATGCCGGGTGTAGGGATAAAGATCTGGCTCATATTGAGGCTCATATGAAAGCATTCAAGGCCAAAGGTGGTGATGTGTCATGGCACATCCATGATGAGAGATCTCTTCTTGCACTTCAGGTCATTTCATGCACTCTCATACTTTGTCTCTTTTATCATGTAAATTTTTCTAAGAACTTTCAAAATGTTTTCTTGAGTTGTCAAAATGTCAACTTATTTCTCTATTAGAAAAACTATTGGCAAAAGCACAAGCAACTTCACCTCAGCCTTGTCTTTTCTCTATTTGCCACTACCAATATCTTATGTATGGGCCTGGCAGCATTGCTCTTTACTTTTTTGGATATGCCATTGTTTTGTTCTTTCTTAAGGGGTATCAGATGTCCAAATTTGTTCTTCAATCTCTTGTTTCTGGAAACTTTCTTTGCTCCGTCTGTTTCCATTGCTTTTCTGTTTCAACTGATTTCATATGATGCATGTGGAATTGATTGGTCAATTCACACATTCCCTGTGCATATAGCGTGCATTATTCTCTCATACGTTCAAAAGTTAATTCTAGAGTATACTGTTTGGATCTGAATATGCTTGTTATTTCAATTTAATCGTTAGAGGGGTCAAAGTGATTTTAGTACTCTTTTTAATTGACAAAAGTGAAATTGATAGCTGTTTTGGTTTAGAAAATTTTCTTTCCCGTGACATCAGTAAAAGATTCTATGTCTCTGGTGCAGGGTCCTCTTGCTGCCCCTGCTCTTCAACACCTGACAAAAGAAGATTTGAGCAAGTTGTACTTTGGCGAGTTCCGTATATTGGACATTAATGGCTTTCGTTGTTTTCTTACCAGGACAGGGTATGCTCTTTTGAAAAGTTACTTCCCTAAAATTAGCTATCTTCTCTGCAAATTAAGGAGCCCGTGTTGAAGTCTTGCTACCTTAAATTCCAGCTTGAAGCACTTTGGCTGTATCAATATTTTGGGGCAGACTAACTGTCTACCTGACCTTTTTGTCTCCTTCCCTTTCTTTTCTTCCCCCTCCCCACTCAAAACGAGTTGCTTAACATGCAACTATAAAGTGATCAAGGTTTGGCCAATTATCTTGTAAAAGTGCTTTTATCATCGTCATTATTGTTTGGCTAATTTCTCATAGAGTAGCTTACTTTTGTAAATTACTAGAGGGCTTATTTAAAGGAAGGATAAAATAAATTACTATTGGTGATTTTCATTTGGAGTGGCTGCTTTTGTCCCAAAGAAGATCAATTCTTGCTTTTGATTCATCTTCAAAGAACTTCTAATTTCTTTTATCTGACATAAAATGATCAATTCAATCATTGCAAAACAATTTGTTGTCTATGTCCCGTCTTTATTCTCAAGCTACAGTAGTTTGTTTTGCTGATAACATGATGATATAGTGAGCTTCTGTTTTTTTTTTTTTTTGGGGGTCTTTCTGCACATAATGCTTAATCTCTTTATTTGTCCAATGCATAATCTAGCTCTCTATTGTACTGATGCTCTCAGGTATACTGGGGAAGATGGGTTTGAGATCTCAGTTCCTTCAGAGAATGCAGTGGATCTTGCTAAGGCAATCCTTGAGAAATCTGAAGGCAAAATAAGATTGACAGGACTGGGTGCTAGAGATAGTTTAAGGCTTGAAGCTGGCCTGTGCTTATATGGGAATGACTTGGAACAACACATCACACCCATAGAAGCAGGACTCACATGGGCTGTAGGAAAAAGAAGAAGAGCAGAAGGTGGGTTTCTTGGAGCTGATGTTATCCTGAAACAGCTCCAAGATGGTCCTCCAATCCGGCGTGCAGGGTTCTTCTCTACCGGACCGCCTCCTAGAAGCCACAGTGAGATCCAAGACGAACAAGGCAACAACATTGGAGAAGTGACCAGCGGAGGGTTCAGTCCTTGTTTGAAGAAGAATATAGCAATGGGGTATGTGAAATCTGGATTGCACAAAGCAGGAACCAAAGTGAAGATTGTGATTAGAGGAAAAGCCAATGAAGGAGTCGTCACAAAAATGCCATTTGTACCAACAAAATACTACAAGCCTTCCTGATTTGATGATTTATATTCATCTGCTCTGTGTTGTTTCTGCTTGAACTTACTCTCTGGTCACTCTTCCCTGATTGACGATTTTAACCATAATCATTTTAAGAGTGTTATAACAAATTTAATGCTTTTGTCCTAAGCACATCAGGTCTTATGGCACAAATTTATTGCATATTATGGGTATGGTGATTGAGCTCAACATTGTCATCTTCAAGTCTACCAAATCCTTTAATGCAAGTGATGAGGCCCAGGAATTTCAATTTCAGGTGTACCTTACTTAAGAGGCGTCAATTTCTATGGGTCACTTGCCAATTTAAGGTTTCCAACAGCTAAGGGATCATTTTACTAAACATTCTTTAATTAGCTTGTGTAGAGCTGCTTTCTTCAAAGTTATCGTATCTTTCCAGATGATAGCTGGGAGTTCTCAAAAAGCATGGGCTCATTGGACTAGGCTATTAGTTGTTTAGTTTTACAATAAAAAAAAAAAATAAAAGAGTACGCCAATTTTCAAATTTTTGATTGATGATATTATTGTTATTATTATCAAAATAAAAGCAGTTAGATTAAAACATTTGATTTGTGTTGTATCAATATGAAAAAATGACTGTAATCCTAAATTTTTTTTATTTTGTTTCATTTCTCCCAAGGAAGGAAAAATTTTCCAAAAATTAATTTGCTGTTTAATTTTTCTTTTTTGCAACTAAACATATTTAGGAGAAAATAATTTTAAAAAAATCTTCTGAGTTCAAGCCAACAGGTTTTTACCTTAGCTAAACACATGTATCATCTTATTGAAAGCAATTTTGTTTAAAACATTGTCAGATACTAAATGTGACCACCACTCCTAGTAAAAATTTAAATATTAGTTTATCATATAGTGAAGAATTAATCCGTTCCACTGCCAACTAGTTTTGTTTTTTTTTTAAAAAAAAAAATCATGGTTATGCTTGGGAGCATGTTTTAGCAGTATTCATGTTAAAAAATATTATAAGAAATTATACAAGATAGTATGATACGCCAGCATTTAATTTATAAAGCATCTCTTTTGACCATCCCCTTTACATGGCATCTACTGCTAGTTTATAGCGGGCAAAAAAAAAACCTCTATTTCAACAGTTACGCTATCTTCTGCACTTGTAAGTATTCTTTTGATTCTTAATATAAGACTTATTAAACTAATTTGATTAAATTAGTTTAAAAAATTGGTTAATTAGTTAATTATATAAAACATGACATGTTTTTTCTGAAACACCATATACATTTTTCTTAATATTTTTTTTCCTCTCATACTTGATTATGGTTGAAAAGCATCAATAGAGATAATTTATAATAAATATAAAAAATAGATTTTATATTTATAACTAAAATTAACTCAATAATTAGGTCTTACATTAAGGACTGGAAGGGTATGTACTTGTTATTTTGATCCCAAAGAAGTGCGCCCTCCCCAGTGCCAGTAATTCACATCTTGAAGTTTTTGTTATCTGTGGATAGAAAATAATTTAAATACCATTTTTATACAACCTAACGACATAAAGACATTCCTATAATTAAAAAGTCAAGAATTCGATCGTGCTTGAGATTTCAGGCAGTCAAAATATTTCCACCATCAAATATCATCCAGTTTGATAAATGAGATCTGAAAGTACTAACTCCAATTCTTGCTATAAAAGATAAAAATTAGTGAACTAATTTAAATAGATTAAAAAAATTAATTAAATTAGCCATTTATAATAAATAGGTATTTTCTTCCCTAAAATACCCTGACTAATAAAAAAAATACAATTTGATAAAACATTTAATATGTACAATTACTATAAAAATTACCTTTAAAAAATAAATAAATACAATAAATAAAGTAAATTAAAATCTTATATTTACGACTAAATTAAATGTTAAGTTAACTCTTATAATAAAAACCGGAAGTAATAACAGATACAAATTGATTTTCTTAAAATATCCTTTTAAAATCATGACTACCTTAAATAGAAACACCTTCAATATGTATAATCAATATAAATACTTTAAAAAATAAATTATAAATTTTGAAAACAAAATGAATTAAAATCTTATATATAAAATCAAATCAAACTCCTAATTAAAAAACCCAAAGAATAATGTTTAAAATCACTTATAAACATATTTCTTGTAAACCAAAAAAATCCTTTTTATATACATACCTCATATTTTGTAAATCAAATTAAAAACTGCTTCAAAACCATTCCAAAGCGAATCTTATGTCAACCTAAAATCTCCTTGATTGATCCACTAACTTTTTTTTTTTTTTGATTGATCCATTCTTGTTTTTCACATGTATACAACGGAAAAAGGCAGAACAAACCAGACGCTAACTAAAAGCTGAGACAATAGCATCAGATCTAAAACAAATTTACCAAAACTATACCATCCACTAAATATCATCAATACAACTCATCTTAGAGCCCATGCACCCCAAACTCAGTCAGCCCACAGTGATATCATGTGGAAAGAAGCCTAAGTTTGATCCGAACGGGTCTTTTTTTAAACAAGAAAATTAACTTGATCCGCATAAAAGAAATTCTGGATTTTTTTTTTTTACCATGAAAAGAAAAATTTTTTTATTAAACTCTGCGCGAAACCATAATTTAACCTTCCGGAAATAAAACTTTTCATATATAAATCCCTAACAAAATTTTAAGCTTTATTACCACGGCACGTGGAAATCATATCATCACTCCTTCCTAATTGAAATTCTGGTATATAAATGGCACACAACTGAAATTATCCATCCGATTGAAAATTCACCTTATTTGAAATCACTTTCTTGGCCTCCTCTTCCCACGATGACGGAATATTGTAAATGAGCATCAGTGCAAATAAGATAAAACCAGGAGATAAGTCAAGCAGCGATTGATGAGCATGACCTCGGAGCTAAAGAATCTTCAAATGAACCAAAACATATAGAATTTTGAAGCCTCCCACGTGCCAGGACAATGATGGCAGGTCACCAGCCAAAAACTCATTGCACTCAGTCATAACTATCCATAGAGATCAGTATACATGAAAACTTGCTTCAGACAGCTTCAGACATCAATAAGCAGCCTGCGGGGATCCTCCACAACATCTTTGATACGGCGCAAGAAATAAACCGCCTCTCTTCCATCGATCAGCCGATGATCGTATGTTAGAGCAATATACATCATTGGCCTCGCAACAATTTGACCACCAACTACCATTGGACGATTCACTATCGAGTGCATTCCCAGGATTGCTGACTGCCAAAGATTAGGATGATACATGAAAAACACGAGTCTTTTTCTTGATAACGAATCATGGGCATAATAATTATCACAATATCAATATTCATAATCATTGAAACATCTTCCTAAGCCTTAAACGACAAGGTAGGATGAATCAGAATACAAACCTGGGGGGGATTGATGATTGGGGTACTTATAAGGCTTCCATAAACACCACCATTTGATATGGTGAACGTGCCTCCAGCCATTTCATCTATTGATATAGTACCATCATTTGCCTTCTTTGCAAGGGTGTTGATTTCTTTCTCAATCTCCGCAAAATTCATTCGGTCAGCATTCCGTAAAACTGGAACAACAAGACCCTTGCAACAAAGTTCCATGAAAATTAGCCATACTAAAGGAGCAAGGTTTGGCACTTACAACACAAAAAATTCACTGATCAATTCTTCGAAAGCTAAAATCATGATGAGAAAATCTATTACTGGTCCTTGAGTTAACAGTTATCTTGACATTGAAAATAAACTGATTTGCCAATCTCACACAACAGGACGTGCCAAGTGCAACTGAAAACAAAACAAGCTCATCTTGACTTTTGCCTCTCAAAGTGGTAGCAGAACCAAATTAGCTATAACAGATCCCGCACATTAAACCCTGAACCAAGACTCATGCAACGTAAATCTAAACTTCATTTAAATAATAACTATAAATTCTTTTAAAATGTACACCTTTGATGTGCCAACCGCAATGCTAATATCAATATAATCTCTGTAAATGATGTCATCTCCATCAATGACGCCATTGACAATTGGTTGATGCTGGAGTGCACTTACTGCAGCCTAAAATAACAGGATATCATCATTATTCAAAGATGATCAAGACACAGCAGAACTAACTGTATACATTACATGGCACAGTGACTACCTTAATAAATCCAGACATGAGTCCTAACTTCACACCATGTTTATCAACAAAAACATCCTTGTAATCAGCTCGGAGCTTCATTAAGTTAGTCCTGAAATATATATAGAATCAAGAAGTCACCAAATTATCAAATCAGGTTTAAATTTGGCTGCAAACAACAGAGGTTGTGCAAATCTTAGCACACTCGCAGTGTCAGTTCCAGCAGAGAATACAAGCTGCTAAGTGTTTGATATTAATGACCTAAACTATGGACAAAAAACTTACATATCAACTTCATTAAATGTTGTCAACATGGCAAAAGTGTTCTGTGCATCTTTCAGACGTGTTGCTACACGTTTCCTAAGTCTTGTCATAGGAACCTGAAAAGCAATTTGCATAAAAAGAGGGTATTTGCAAGATACTGAATAATTAAATTTTAAAAGGCAATCAAAGGTAAGGAGATAAAAGCAAAACTTACTCTTCTTTCCCTCTCCTTAGGCGGAAGTTGAGGTTCTTTCACTGAGGACTGAGGCTGTGCTGCCGCAGATGGAGCTTGGGGCTTTTCCCTAGGAGGAGGTGGGGCCTTTGGACTTTCCTCAGCTACCTTTGGCTTTGGCTTTTCCTTTTCCTCTTGAGATGGCTTAGGAGTTTCTTTGGGGGGCACTTTTTCAGAGGGAGCAACATGTGCCACACCTTCACCAGATTTTGAAATTACAGCTACCTTATCACCTGGCTTAACAACATCACCTTCTCTCGCGACAAGCTACATACGGGCTCAAGAAAACAACATGAAAGTCAGAACCATGCCCTTATGCACGAGTGACAATGGTTATTTTTTATTACTTTTCTTTGCCATGAGTGATAGTGCATTAAAAGCTTCAAAATATCGGAGCACATTATGAATTCATAGGTATTGGTACCTTCTGTATTATGCCAGCCTCAGGACTGTTCACATCAATGGTAACCTACGTGTAACATGTGAAATGTAATTAAGAAGCATTCAATGATCATAAATGGTAAAGCCCCGTTTTCATGACCATTAAGAAATCATTTTCTAGAATACCTTGTCAGTTTCTATTTGAGCAATTGGCTCATCAACTTCTACACGATCACCAGGTTCTGCTCCCATATGAAACCACAAGCACCAAGAAGTTCAGAGGAAAAACACATAACCAATTATTTTCAATTTTTCCATTAGTTTCGAAAGAAGCTGGTAAAACAACATACTCTTTAAAAAGTTTGCAAGGGTCCCATCAGTAATGGATTCCCCCATGAAGGGCACGACAGCATCAGTAAGATCTCCTGCAGCACAATCATAATAGTAGTATAATAAACGTATTTAATTGTAAAATGTTCGTCTTAGGCAGATATTTATAACATACCATTTTCAGAAGAATAAAATCTATTCAACATGGACATAGGAGAAGCTGCTCGGAATTGGATCAATCCACTGCATGAAAAATATTAAAAGTAACTCATTAATATGCGTTGAAAGCAGGAATTGATCAGAGTAAGAAGATGCCACAGACCTGATAGATTTGGTATCATCTAAACACCCTGTCATCAAGTTTAAGCTTCGAATTAGTCATATGAAATAATAGACTCGGAGAAAATTAGCATACCAAAATAAAAAATCATCTTGACAGACAAGTGCAAATACCCCGACAGCCTTGGTGGCCAATACTGCTTATGGTGTGTGATCCTTTTCCAAGAAGTAGCGACTGCCACAAAATTCAACATTTATGAACATCAGAAAGCAAAGTTAATTAACCAGAGGGCATGGCTATAGTACATCAGTATTATTTGTCTAAGGCCCAAGTAGTTTGTAAAAGAAGTTTTGATCGATCGGAATGAATGATGTATAAGGTCAGCACGCAAATCAAAATCCAGAGTATAGTGCATTAAAGATTATACTCCCTTCGTTTCAAATAACAGACATTTTTAAATAAAACACGCGAATCAAGAAATATAGTTAAGCAATTAAAATTTCAAAATTTTTCCTATTTTACCTTGGGGAAGTAACTTTGATATACTTTTAGGAACATTTTAGGTAAAAATTATTAACTGCTCTCAGAAGGCCTTGCATTTTGAAACATGGTATTTTAGAAAACATGTATTTGAAATGGAATGAGTGATATATAGAAACTCGAGATATATGTATCACATAGGAGCAGATAATCAGAAAAATAAGGGCAATTGATTACAACCCAACCAAGACAGGATAGCAAAGACCCCGCATTAAACAGCCAGGAGACTGGGGTAAGCTCGATAGTTTACGAAAGCGCATGCATAGCTACCTCTTTTGCTCTGGTGGCATAACGCCGTGAATATGGAGCTCGAGTCTCCCGCACCGCCTGCTTCAAAACCTGAAAAAAAAAAAAAGATAATTACAGGAACAAAAATTCACATACATTAGAAGATTAACACACTAAATTAAAGAATTTACCGTGGCGGAGGAGCCACCAGTTGCTACTTTCCTCCTGAGGATTCCCCACATGACGACCTCCCTATCAGAATAACTGATCAACAATCAAGTCAATATCAATCCTCAATGCTTCGGAATGACGAAACTCAGCAACAACAAACACACAATTCTAGCCCAAATCTTCAAAATCATCAATTTAAAACATAGTAGCACGAAAGCGAGACCGGCATTAAAAAATGGATGAAAAATACACATTCAAAGACCATTTGCACGAAATAAAACTAATTCCGATCTGAAAAATAACTAAAGAATAGAAAGATAAGCAGAGATCAGACCTAATAGATTCAAACGAAGGAGAAAGTGACGAAGGCGAAGTTGGGCTTTTTGGGAAGAATAATAAGGAAGGGTCTGGAACAAATCATCAATCAAAATAATATTTTTTTAAATGAAAATTTGTTCTGAAGGCGAAGAGTCAAGACACGCCGACGCGAGCGAAGACAGCCCTGCCTGTCTGCTATTTCCTTTTCCCGTCTTCCCACTCAGCTGGATTCCGCTTTGTTCGGTTTCATAATTAACTTGACGGTGTTTTCTTTTTCCTTTTATTATTCCTTAGGGGAAATCACAAATAAAGACCCTCGAATTAGCAAAATCACTCTATAGTCACCTGAATAAGCCAAATTATCATGAGGGATCGGGTCTCAAATTGCAATTATGAAATCATGGCCAAATTACCAAAATACCCCTCTTTAATTTTTTTTTTTAAAAAAGAAAGCCACTGCCTCACCGGAATCCGGCCACCGGCGCCGGAGCTCCGGCGGCCGCTTCCGGCCACTGCCGACGGGGTCCGGCCGCTGGAACTCCGGCGCCGGCGGCCTTCCTTTGTTTTTTTTTTTTTTGCAATGCTTTTTTTTTTTTAAATAGTGGGGGAAGTGAGGTTGGGGGATTTGATCCCCCAACCTAATGCTTCCCAAAATAAGGAATGACCACTAAGCCAACAAATTTTTGTTAACATTATAATGCAAAAAAAAATATAAGTTAACTCATTTACTCTTGTTCCAGGTGATAACAACAATACATTTGGAAATAAAAAGTTCTGATTGTAAAATAACACATCTGGAATAAAAATTTAACAATATGTTTTTTTTATAACAATAAATTTTGTTGCAGGTAATAACAACAATACATTTAAAAATAACAAGTTCTTATTATAAAATAACAAGTTTGGGATTAAAATTTAACAACACGTTTTTTTTTTATAACAACACACTTTGTTTCAAGTGATAACAACAATACATTTAAAAATAACAAGTTTTGATTATAAGATAACAAGTCTGGGATTAAAATTTAACAACACGTTTTTTTTATAACAACACACTTTGTTTCAGGTGATAACAACAATACATTTGGAAATAACAAATTCTAATTATAAAATAACAAGTCTGGCATTAAAATTTAACAACACCTTTTTTTTTATAACAATTAATTATTTTATACTTTTGGAAAATAAATTATTTATAACTTATAAAAAGTACTTGTAATCTATTTAATTTGCTAAAAAAATAATTTTTATCTCCAATTTATAATCAGAACTTGAAGTATAATTTTTTATAGATTAAAAATACTTTTTTATTGTTCAAATTTATAAATAAAATTTAGGAAAATGGCAACACACTTTTTTATTTTTTTTTTAAATTTTTTTAATCTATATATCTATACAACTTATTATAAATTGAACTACTTCTTATAAATTATAAATAGTACAATTTATTGTGAATTAAAAATACTTTTTGACTGCTTAAATTTATAAATGAAATTTATCTCTAGTTTATAATTAAAAATACTATTTTATTCTTTAAATATAAAAACTATTTTTAATATTTAAAGAATGAAATAATATAAAATTTATACTATGATTAATAGATTAAAAATACCTAATTATAAATACTTTATAATTTATAAAAAGTAGTTTGATTTATAATGAGTTGTATAGATATATAGATTAAAAAGTATTTTTTAGAGAAATAAATATATTAAAAATATTTTTTATAAGTTATAAATAATTTATTTTTCAAAAGTATAAAATAATTAATTGTTATAAAAAAATGTGTTGTTAAATTTTAATCTCAAACTTGTTATTTTAAATGTATTGTTGTTATCACTTGAAACAAAATGTGTTGTTATAAAAAAACGTGTTATTAAATTTTAATCCAAAACTTGTTATTTTATAATAAAACTTGTTATTTTTAAATGTATTGTTGTTATTACCTGCAACAAAATTTATTGTTATAAAAAAAACATATTGTTAAATTTTTATTCCAGATGTGTTATTTTACAATCAGAACTTTTTATTTCCAAATGTATTGTTGTTATCACCTGGAACAAGAGTAAATGAGTTAACTTATATTGTTTTTTTTGCATTATAATGTTAACAAAAATTTGTTGGCTCAATGGTCATTCTTTATTTTGGGAAGTATTAGGTTGGGGGATCAAATCCCCCAACCTCACTTCCCCCACTATTTAAAAAAAAAGCAGTTGCAAAAAAAAAAAAACAAAGGAAGGCCGCCGGCAGTGGCCGGAGCTCCGGCGGTCGAACCCCGCCAGCAGTGGCTGGAAGCGGCCGCCGGAGCTCCAGCACCGGTGGCCGGATTCCGGTGAGGCAGTGGCTTTATTTTTAAAAAAAAAATTAAAGAGGAGTATTTTGGTAATTTGGCCATGATTTCATAATTGCAATTTGAGACCCGGTCCTTGTGAGTAATTTCACTTATTCAGGTGACCTATCTGTTATTTTGCATATTAGAGGGTCTTTATTTGTGATTCTCCCTATTCCTTATTTATTTTTTAAAAGTTATTCTTCTTATTTTAAACCTAAGACACACACATTTTGTTACACGTCAAAATAGATTTTATATTTAAAATAAAAAAATTATTCTATAAGTATGTATACTTCCTTTCAATTTTTAATTGGAAGAATTGTAATGAGATTCTAAATAAGAAATATAATTATTAAAAAATCTTAACAATAACTTAGCAGCTTGCAGTGATAAGTTCTAAAATAATAAATGACAATCCTTCACTTATTATTAGGATTTTTTAATAATTATATTTTTTTTATTTAGAACCTCATTCTTTGTTTTTAATTTTATATCTATGTATTTTTCTTAATTAAATATTTTAATTTTTTTTGTTAACGACATTAATCTTTATATTGAGATTTATGGTATTAACTAAATAAAATTATAGCGCCACTAAGGGAACAAAGTTAAACGAGTTAATTAAAAAAATTACATGTATCAAATTAAAAATTTAAAGAAAGTAGGTGCCTACAAAATAGCTTTTTTTCTCATTTTTAATTAAATTAGGGACAAACAATTTTTTGACTCTTGTTTTAATACTTTTAAGGGTTAAAGTGCATCCACAAAATATTTTTTTAGATACATCCAGCGTTTCAAAATATTTTGTGATATATTCAATATCTCAAAATATTTTTTAGGTGCGTACAACACATTAAAGTATTTTTTTGCCTTAAATGCACCAAAAAATATTTTTGGGTATACTTTAAAGTACTAGATGCTCCAAAAGATATTTCACTGTGTTAGACGCACATAAAAAAATATTTCTAGATGCTAGATATACTACAAAACACTTTAGGATTCTAGATGTACCAAAAAAAAAACTTAGAAAACTAAGCGCACATTAACCCCACTTTTAGTTTATTTTCAAATTTAATTATACCTACTAAATGTCTCTGAAGTGTGTATACTCTTATTGTTAATATAAGAATTACTTAACTAATTTGAATAGATTAATAAAATTAGTGACATTAGTTATTTGTAATAAATATAAATTGATTTTTTTAAAGTATCTTTTTTAATGATAACTTATTTTAGATGGAACCTCTTAACATGCATAATCATTAAGGGTATCTTAGAAAATAAATTACAAATTTAGAAAACATAGAAAATTGAGTTCTTATGTTTAAAATATACTTTAATCTCTAACTAATTACTACTTCCGGTCCTTAATATAATATCTCAATCTACTTTATCTTTCATATTTATCTATTATTTTTTTAAGATAATCCTTGTAATAATGGTGGTTCTGGTCAATAAACTTTATTAGTAAAAATATTTTAAGAAAGACAATACTTATTTATTACAAATAACTAATTTAATTAATTTTTTAATCTATTCAAATTAGTCAATTAAGTTTTATATTAAGAACGGAATAGCATCATATTAAGGAATAATATATTTATAGATACTAGGATCTATATCTATATTTTTTCCAGAAAGTAGTGCTGGCTTGTTTATGGCTCCGATTCCAGGTGACTAAACGTACGTTTCCGAATCGGATCAACAACGGACGGAAAAGTGGAAAACCAAAAGGTTAGTGTATCAATTATTTTATATTAACGTTTTCTTGGTTTTCAAATCCAGAAGACGCCCGTTTGGTTCAATGCAAACTCTTTTGGGAATGTAATCGGGTGCAATGTAATAGGATGCAATGCAATAATGATTACCATCAATATGTTTGGTTTGTTATTAAGAAGATGTATATAAATTATTTTTCATATTTAATCAGAATTATAAAAGGTCCAAAATGCCTAAAAACTCTCAATTCCCAATCATCTTCTTTCTCAACCAAAACACTAGCATCAATACAAAACCCAAATAAAAATCAGCATGTTTAAACGAAAAAATCTTGAACAGATCATAAGCATAATAAATTAAAAGGGAAACAAAATATATGAATCAAGTTTTAAACATGGTTTCAAATCTTGTTGAGAGAACAAAATAAAAACCAAGATCTAAACCACGGAAGCATGAAAATCTCATGTTTGTCCCAACAAATACTGATTTGAACATTTACAAAAAAAAATAGATTCAAAGGAAGACATTCATAGAAAACAGATATGAAAAGGAGACATTCACAGCTTCAAAGTTGATGGCCAAAGATGAAAATGACGATAATGAAGGGAGGGAGAAAAAAGAGAAGGGCTTGTCATCGAGAAAAAAAATAGAGAGAAGGGTTGGAGAGGAAAGGGAAAAATGTTGATTATGGTCAATGGGACTAATGGTGGGTGGCTTTCGATAATGGAGGAGGAGGGAGGAGGCAACGAGAACAAATATAAGGGTAAATTAGGCTTTTTAAACTATGCAATGAGTGGTAATGGGGATTCATAAGGGGGAGGTATGAATGGGCATTACCAATTTTTTGATAATAATCATTACCATGGTAAACCCTATTACTAAACTAAAAAGTAACCAAACATATTTTTTTTGGTAATGCAATTTTAATTACTATTGCAATCCTACAATGTAATTGAATCAAACGGACTCTGTTTGTAAAGAATGACATGACATCCAGGGGCCACGCGTCCCAAGATTTTTAACATTAGCGGTAGCAAATGTATTAACTATATTATCCCTCCTA